AGAAATGGCTGATGTGATTTTCTTACAGATAATCTCAGTGTTACTTTTCCAAGAGAGATGCTGATCAACTATTACTCCTAGTGTCTTGCATTCCTTCACTTGTTTAATTGGTCTGTTTTCAATCATTATGTTTAAATTTGAATCTGAAACAGTATGCACTAGAGATCTTGATCCTATGAGCATAAATTCAGTTTTGGCAATGTTTAGACTCAGTTTGTTCGCGTTTAACCACATTCCGAGGTTTTCCAAATCAGAGTTCACTGCATTTTCAACATCATCAATTGTACCACCGGAAGCAGTGAGGTTTGTGTCATCTGCAAAAAGTCTTGGCATTGTCCTATTTAGGCTTTCAGATAAATCATTTATGTATATTAGGAAAAATAAAGGACCTCAAATGGAGCCTTGAGGAACACCACACTTAACTTTATGTTCAGACGAGACAACACCATTTACTTGGCATTTTTGGGTGCGATCAGTAAGATATGATCTCAACAACAAATGTGCCTTATCCTTAATTCGTAAATTTGCATTTTCTCAAGTAGAATTTCGTGATCTACGGTGTCAAATGCTTTTTTTAGATCTATAAAAACTACTAAGTTAAACATTTTTCGATCCATGTTAATTTAACACACCAACTATTTGTTGAATCTAAAAGGGACGTAGCGGTAGAGTGAAACTTTCGAAAGCCAAATTGGTTATCAGAGAGAATTTCGTTTTTAGTTAAATAATCATACAGCTGGTCATACAGTAATCTTTCCATGATTTTGCTTATGACTGGTAGTATCGATATTGGCCTGTAATTACCAGGAATATTACAATGACCACTTTTATAAAGAGGTAAAACTCTAGCTACTTTCCATTCATCTGGAAAACTGCAAAGAGTAATACTTTGATTAAAAATATATGTAAATGTAGCAGAAATAATTAACTGGTGATGCTAATTTAAGAATTTTACTGGAAATTTTGTCAATACCATATGCTTTGTTACAAGACAGCCCTCTTAAAAGATCAAAAATTTTGTTTACCGCAATTGGTGTAAATGCAGTGAACTCGGATTCAGAACTTTTAGTATACTTTTGAAAGTCGCAGCTAGATTCATCCAACTTGCTTGCCAAGTTTGGTTCAACATTTGCAAAGAATTCATTTAACCCTTCTGCAATCTCTGTATAGGATTTGTTAATTTAGATTCATTAATAATTAGTTCATTTATAATCGTGGGTTTCTTACCCTTTCCGATCAAACTATTAATAGTTTTCCAAGCCTGCTTTGGATTGCACTTTTGGTTAGAATCTTTTTAGAATGATAGTCTGTTTTGGCTTTCGTTAATTCGGTGTTTGTTTGATTTCTGGCTTTTTTATAAATGAGCCAATTAATTCTTGTTTAGTAATAATTGCTTTTCTTTTCAATTTATCTCTTTCGGTTATGAGCATTTTAATTTTGCTTGTAAACCAAGGGACACTTTTTGATTTTATCTTTTTGTTTTGAAGTGGTGCATGCTTATCCAGGACCTCTAAAAAGACTTTTTCCACATCTCCCACATAGTATTTGGATTATCTGGAAAATAATAAATATGATCCCAGGGTTGATTTTGCAAATCCTTAAGAAAATTTAGATCACTGAATTTCTTCATGTTTCTAATTCCAACAATATTTACATGACGTTTTACTGAAAAATTTATTTTTCTTATTGCGAAAATCATGCTATGATCACTAATTCCAGTATGTATTACCCCAGAGTCAGAAATTTTCTCTGGTCTATTTGTAATAAAATGATCAATAAGGGTGGATGTTGATGATGTTATGCGCGTAGCTTCATCAATCATTTGTGACAATTGATAAAGTTCATCTATGGATTTGAGTTTTATAGTTAATTGGTCTGGATTTGTCTTAAGTGAATCACAGTTTAAATCACCAAGAATGTGAATTTCTTTGTTTTCATCATCTATTTTTTTAATGAGACTTTCTAAATTGGTAAAAATTCAGATGACGGATTTGGAGGTCTATAAGCTGTTACTACGACGAAAGGCTGACTTTGAGGCTTAATGATTTCAATTCAAACAGCTTCAAGATTTTTAGGCACTAGATCATGTCTAATCCGATAGTTAATGGAGCTACGCAAATACATGCAAACACCATCTCCACTTCTCGATCTATCTTTTCGGATGATATCATAACCATCAATATACATTTGATAATCTGAAATTGATGAATCAAGCCTTGTTTCATTAAATGCGATTAAATCAATGAATTTGTTTGACAATGAAAAGCTAATTTCATCATATCGTTTTGGCAAGCTAACAACATTTAAAAAGGCCATTTTAAAGCCTCTTTCATTAGGAATAGAATTAATCTCATTGAAACAATTGCTGCTCCTGTTTTGGGTTAAATAGCAACTATCATTAATATTTATTTCTTCATTATATTGGTTACTAGCTTCAGGTGATCTGACCATTCCTTCATTCGATGGCCCAGTGCAAGCCGAAAAAAAGGCTTATTTTTTTTATAAAAAGAACTAACATGTAGAGCTTGTTGTAGAGGCAACGATTCTTGGTTTATTGATCACCCAATACCAGAAGTTGAACGTCCATGTAGATAAGACAACGACTAAAAGTAGCGAAGCGATTGTATCGATGCTCAAACGACTTAAGAGGTCGGGTCTTAGTGATGATGATTTAAAATGTTTCTACATCGCCTCTATAAGGTCTATTCTTGAATACGCATGTCAGGTATATCATTACGGTCTACCGAAATATCTTTCAGACCAAATGGAGCGGATTCATACACGAGCTAGCATTGTGCATCATATGCTCTGATGCCATTTATCATATTCAGAAGTCACTGAAGAATTAGACATAGAAACCTTGAGGACAAGAAGGAAATGATTATATATATATTGAAGTTTTCAAATCCATAGTAAATGACAAAAGGGCACGTATTTTAAAATAATTATTGTAAAAATCGTGTAACTGAGCCTCCAGACTGCGGGACGATTTGATTCTTATACTAAACGGTTTAATAGCATATTTTTATTATCTTTACTATTTTTGTTCAACTTTTATAGTTTTTCACTAGTTGAGCTCGTTTTAGGTCTAACGGCTTAGTGTAAACATACGTAAAACTTGGCGCCATTATTTCGCTTCGGCGCAGTGTGAACGTAGTCCTCAATGGACCATTTGCATTATCGACTAAATTTTGATCTAGACAAAAATTTTATCACAGCTTAAAAGAGCATCACAAAATTAGTAATATTCCAAAGTTTCGTTGCGAAATGTTGTAAAATGCGGATAATATAGCCTTGCGAAGTTTGCCGTTTTTCAGTCCTTTTGTATTACGGACGGGAAATTGACAACCCAATCGGGTGTTGGGGCATCAATTTCCCGTTTGTAATACAAAATGACTGAAAATTGCAAATTTCGCAAGGCTATATTATCCGCATTTCACAACATTTCGCAACGAAACGTTGGAATATTACTAATTTTGTGATGCTCTTTCAAGCTGTGATGAAATTTTTGTCTAGACCAAAATTTAGTCTATAATGCAAATGGTCCCATTCAAGTGCAAATCATACAGTAATCACAGTCTGGCGTACTCATGCACAGTCCTACAACGATGAATACGACACGAGTTCTTAATAAAACCTGTGCCAGTGTAGGTAGTTGCAATAATAAGAAAGCTTCGGATTGATTGGGATGCAACTACATGAAAAATACAAGGAGAACTTCGACATTTCCAGCGAAAGACCTTCGTCGGGAAGAATTAGTAGCTGACGAAGGGCCTTCGAAGAAGTTACTAGCCGTATTTTTTCAGAACAAAAATTAGTAACATCATCTCATGCTCTGACGTTTGGCTGAAGCAAATTGTGAATGAATCAATGAATTGCTCTCTTTGTTCTTGTAATTGCGATGATTGCATGCAATTTCTTTCCTTTTTCTTTTAGTTTGCTTTCTGAAAACGCCCAACCTACTAAGCAAGAAATTGAAGATGGTTTTGACGGCAACCTATGTCGTTGTACTGGTACGGTATGATGGGATTTAAGATATTGTTGCATGGATTTGTAGACGGAAATTTCAAGTGGAATTTTTAAACATTTATTAGACCTAACCAGAAGCAGTTGCGAAGAATGCAACTATAGGCCCTCTGGCTGCAGCGGGCGCTTTAACCAACTGAGCTAAAGAGAGACAGTTGTCTTGCTCTGACACTTGACTTTCTACCCTCGACTTTCCACCCTCGACTAAAACCTAAACTCATGTGCAACATTTAATTGTCATAGTTATGAAATACTGAATTGCTAAAATAGCTATTGTATGTTTAGGTTTCCGTCCTATTCTTGATGCGATGAAATCATTTGCAAAAGATGCGAATCCTATTGATATCGAGGTATATGGTAACATAATTATATGAACATATAACACCTCATTAAATTCTGGTCATACCTAATTGGCTGATTATGATTACCTGATATGGAATTAAAATTCCCATTTTGGAACTAAAATTCCGAAATTTCCAGTACAAGTATTATTGCACCGTAGGGTTTAATTTAATGAATTAATTCAATCAAAATCTCATTCATATCGTAATCGTAGCTCGTATAACTATTATTTCATAATGAGACCAATGGAATTAAATTCAGATATAGAGAATAATACATGGGTGCGCGGAAATACCAGATTTATTTCGAGTGTTGAACGTGATATCTCACGAGTGAGCGCAGCGAACGAGTGAGATATCATGTTTAACACGAGAAATAGATCAGGTATTTCCAAGCACACATGTATTGTTCTGTTTATTATATAAACAATATTTCTACACCACCATAACTCAAACGAATAAAATCCAAACAAATTTATTACAAAATTCATACAGGAATGAAAAAATTGTGTATGAATGCAACTTATATGTTAAACAGTGCCAAAAACGGTATAACTTTCAAACAAAATTTATAACAATATAGGACGACTATATACAGTAAATAAAAATAATGTTCAACAAACGGTTTTCAGTTCATTTTTCCTGGCTGTCATCTTGACTGCTATCACTTTCAAGAGGTAACAGTCGTCGTAGTTTCTTAGCTTTCGGACTAGCGCCTATCATTGTGTTCGACGCAGAAGACGAAGCGCTAGATATGTGGATATTAAACGTGCCCCCTGTGATGGAATTGCCCTGAAAAAGCGACGAGGATGGATTAATAGCATCTTGCTTCACACTGAACGAAATGGTCTCCTGCGAAGAGAGCGACGATCGTGCGTTACCCACATTCGGCACCGAAGACAAGATCGAAGAAATGTCTTGTTGTTGTTGTTCTCTCAATGAACTATAATTGTTAACTGACTGCAAATTTTTGTGACCGGTTATTTGTACGATTTGGGTTGGAGGAACATTGTTGTCTTGTAGTTTTTGAACAAGTGTTTTTCGAGCGCTGTGATTTGTTATTCGCTTGTCTTTTCCAATTCCAGCCAGTTGTGCACAATCTTTCATGAGGGAGTTTAATTTGTTTACACCCATTGGTTGAGGTTTGAACCATTTCAGTCCTGGCAGATCTGCCTTACTGGCATTCGCGTGGTTTACGCCGAGATAGAATGGAGCATTGTTGTCCATATACGACTCCGGTCGTTTAGCTTTGTACAGTTTATACAAGAAGACGGGATTCCGTTCAGGGCCAGCTGAGAGATTTTCGTACATACGCGGTTTGATCGATCTTCTATTCATGGAGTTTTCACCGGTTCGGGTCTTCGTTTGCCTCTCAGTGTTATACTCAAGATACTCTTTACCTTCCGTATCTTTTTTGAGAAGAACATCTCCCCATTTTAAATCACGTTGTTCCTTCCCGCCTCGTAATCCAAAATGTAAACAGTTGTTGTACCAGAGTGTATTTATTAGAGCTTGAGGACTATTACAACCAAAAGCACCGCTGCTGTAAAGCATTTCTATCTCTTCTTTGGTCAAAGAAGCGGCTTCGAATGGTTTGTTTCCTTTTCCATCGCGCTTTAGTTGCTTTTGTTTCGACCTCAGTGTTTCTCTTGTTCGGGCAAAGCTTTGTCCCGTGACTACAGACTCGCAATATCGATGTTTTTTCAGATAACGTTCGACTGAGGATATAAAACCACGAAGAGTAGTTGGCTCGTATTCTTCTCCGTTTTTTTTCCTTACGGCCAGCAAAAATTTACTTAAATATGTATCGAGTTGAGACGGCGACAGTTCTTCCATTCTCGGCGGTCTATTGACATGGCTTGCAGCTTCACTTGCGATATAAGAATGAATTAAATTGACGTCTAGTTCTGTTTTTCTTTTAGTATTCTGATTTTCCTCTGTTTCATTGAACTCGTCAACGTCCTTTTCATTAATTTCATGGAATCGTGTGCTCATGGTTTTTCAGGTTTTTGTTTTTAAAACTTTGTACGAAACAATTTGTGAAAAATGGCTGTTGAAAATTTTGGATTTTATTATCAATTATAAAGAGCGTTGTGATTGGTTAGTTAAATTTATTTCGCGACTTGTCATTGGCTGGAAAATCGTATCAACACACGTAAAAATATCGTATTTTTACGTGTGTTGCTGCGATATTTTTATCGCGAGTCAAATACGACTTTTCCGAGTGCCCAAAATTTCTATATAACACTATACTTTATATAATAAATAGTTTTTCGTTATACCTCAAGAAACCACAACGTCTGTTTCATCCGTATAGGAATCATCAGGACCACCTGATGATCCCTATACGGATGAAACAGACTGTTGTGGTTTATTGAGGTAAAACGAAAAACTATATATATGTATATATATATATATATATATATATGTATATATATATATATATATATATATATATATATATATATATATATATATATATATATATATATATATATATATATATATATATATATATATACCTCAAAGGAGAGGAGCTTAGAACTGGTAGCATGTAAGATAAAGTTTTCTAGCTCTTGTCAATAATAAATAGCTTAAGGTGGCTCCCTACAGTTAGTGCAGTTTAAATACGATTTATATAGATCAGACTTCATCCTCGCGACCTGCGCGTGGAATCGTCGTGTTTACTGTTCGGCAAAAATATTGAAACAAGCCGTGGGAAGTTTTTTGGCGTTTTTATCTACAAAGAAGGCCCCAGTTTTTCATTATAATCCTATTTTTTTCTGAATTCGAACAGTACGTATGTTATTAACTAGTTTAACCTATCTTTAGTGTGTTTTTACTTATTTACGTTCAGTATTATCTTTCATATTGCTCAAAATTTTCAACTTGTTGTTTTGCGAGCTGTCAAATTGAAATGATACTGTCTTCTATTAACTCTTGAACAGTAGTGAACTGTTGCCGAAACTTATATAAGTTCTGTCAATTAATTCAATTCACAGGTATCGTTTTATCTGCTAAATCAAATAAAAGAGTTATGAGTTGTTTTATATGAAAAGTTAAACTTGTAGTTCGATGTTTTGAAAAGTTTTCAGACCGATTTTAACAACAAAAACAAATGTAAACTAACACTGGATTTCATACAATGCCTATAATAGTGTTTTTTATTAGCATTTTCAAGATTACAAGTACAAGTCAGAAATATCTGTTTTCTTATGTATTGTAAACCAAAAAGTTGAAATCACTATAAATCACACGCTACAATTTACACGCATGCGCAGATCGTGCTCATGTCGAGTCGATTTTTTTTTCATGCTGGCCACGCCGATTTTAGCGATAATTTTCTCGTGTTTTCTTCGGTGAAATTTTTATTAAACTTTGTATTTTTGTTATACAAGACGAGTGGTACAACATATCCAAATTTTAAGAAATTCTACAAATAACTTTTTCTGTAATCGTCATTCACGAATATCTCGAAAACTTATTTGTAGATTCCCCTCAAATTTTGATATGTTTTTCCCTTATGGACCATAAATCTTCAAAAAAAAATTCAGAAAAATTCACCGAACGAAAATATAGATATTGCATGTCCATTTATTGTGAAATTAGACAATAAAATTGCAAAATACTAAACGTTATGGTTGCCATGGCAACACAAACACTGTTTTAATTTGTTCATAGATGGCAGCACACAGCTTCTGAACTTTCCTGGAAATGATCATATTGCCTGGTCTTTAGTGTATGTAATATAAATTCGGTTCAAAGCGAACGATACTCAAAATACCTAGAATTTTAGAGAACTGTAGGGAGCCACCTTAAGTATTTTTTTATAAATAAATCACTTAAGTATTTTGTTTTTAATTTCTTTGTTCAGAAAGAGGGCCAACCTCGTACCCAGGGCTAGTCGCGAATTGAAGGCGGCGACATAGCCCTGGTAAACGCTGGTCACGTGACTCCAACATTACGTAATTGTTACTTTTTTCAACCGGGGGGTGAATAGGTGAAATTCGAAGACAAACAGTTTTTATCTCCGAAATTCTTCAATCTTCTTTGTGAATTTTGCATTTGAAGCTTCTCTCAAAGTACGGCGATCGATCAAATGGATCAATACTTTCTGTAGAAAAAACTCAGTGAGATTTGTTCGTATGAGACGTTTAAAAGACACGGATATGTCGCCAAAGACGCTCGATCATTGCGCAGGTTTATGGAATAGTACTTTGTTCAGTTTGTTGCGAATTGCGAAGCAAATGAATGCAAATTCAACTCTTGTATAATGACTAAAAGTTGGTTTGTAGAGGGACAACTTATACAAAAGATATGAATACATTAGCTTCAAACTAGGGA